TCTTTTTTAAAAAATATAAAACAAACTCCTAAGATCATTAAACCCGATTAAATGATTATTGAAATTTTTGGTTCACAATTTGTAATTTTCTAAATAGAAAATCAAAATTAATTGGCAGCATAAAATTGCGCACCCTTTTCATGGTGACATGATCCGCCATCAATTTAGGTTTGTTTAAAAGAGAAGAAACCAAAGAAGATGGTACAAGTGACATTGTAACCCAAATGCAAGACCAAATTATGGTATAGAAGATCAAAGTGGAGATCATGATGAAACGTGAAAAATATATACACAGTATATATATATATATATATATATATACACACACACACATACATGTACATATGTATATGCATATACCCATGTCCCAATTGATGTTGATTTGGGGTCCATCTCTAGATATAATAGTTGAGTAACACTTACTCAATATATTAATAATTGAATGAGAATTAGTGACCAAAATAGTAAACCCATATACAAAATTAAATGGAAAAAAGAAAATCATAGGTGGTCCCTTTGAATTAATTAAATAATTAGTGGACCCAAAATGTATTATACAATAATATATATATATATAAGTTTTGAGAATTATATATATATATAAGTTAAAAAAATATGTGATCAATCTATATGATTGATTACTTGTAGCTTCAGTTTTACGAATCTATTTATCCAGGCCATATGTTTATCATGAGAAAAAAAGTTGGTTAGACCAAAATAGGAAAGATCATCCTGCAATCACCTGAAACAACGAAAGAACATATACATATACATATATATATATAATATAATATAATACAGGAGAATGTTAATGCTTTAGGGAAAGAGCTTAGAATATAAGCTACCCAATTGGTATCTAATCAAAATATTTGACGGAATAAAGAGAATGCATTTCTTTTGTTTATTAGATTATGAATGTTCTTTGTGTAAAGATGCACGTTATTAACACTAATATATATATATATATATATATACATATATACATACATATGTATGTATATATGTTTCAAAAAGGACTGCTATTTCCACATGCATCTATTCACCACAATGGTGAAAATGCATATGCTTGTTATTTACAAAAGTTTCCATATCCACATATATATAAATATTCATGCTAATTATCTTTTTTTTAAAGCATCTCTATATATAAAAATAATTTATTTATTTCTAAACCCGTTTAATAGTAGAAATATAAATTTATACCAGTCTCGTATAAAAAATACTTAAAAAAATTTTATCCATTAGTTCTATATGTAGAATTTTTGACTTACTACTTAACCCATTTATTTTTTTTTTTAATTTTTAAAAATCTTATAAAATATTTAAACAATTGATTAAGATTTAATATTAAAATAAAATATAATTTAAAATAAAAAATAATTTACCAAACAATAAAAAAAATCATATCATAAGTATACAATAAGATATATTTATTACTCAAAATTTTATTAATCTCGTGTAGAAAATTAAAGATAAAAGTAAAATTTTTTAAATACGATAAATATCGAACATATGTATCAGTATATTCATATTTATCCCGTACTTATTTTGAGTTTATAATTTTATATTTACGCAGGTCTCGTATTTATGTTCATATGTCGGTTTCTACTTTTTCTCGATAATTGAGATATGAAATTCAATCGGAAGTGGTTACACCGACCAGCATATATTGATAGGCAAAGGAATCATTCCGTACATACCCCTTCAATTGTTTCTTTACTAAAAGCATACGAGAGAAAGAGCCTTTTGGTCGAATTGGCAGCCATTCGTTAATTCATGTCTTAATCTTAATTAAACTAAACTAATGCCTCTCTAATTTTCATTTTTAATTATAATTATTATTATTATTTTTCTTTGGTGCATAACTATTAGTGTTTCAATTATTTGATCAATCAACATCATTATTTTAGGATAAACACAAAAGAATGAATAAATTTTTTCAAAAAAAAAAAAAAAATTATCCAATCATTTTTTTTCTCGAAGGGTGTGTGTATATGTATATATATATATATATGATTTTTATAATTATTAATAAGAAAAATTATGGTGAGATATGGGTATTTAGAGATACCCATTTATCTTTCATAGAAGAAAAAAAAAAACCCTAATATATAAACTTATAATATAACATTAAAAATTAAGTAAAATTAATTATTTTATTCGCGACTCCATATAATAATTTTTTATTACTATAAAAATGGTAAAAATATTTTTTATAAAGATATGAATTCGAATCATGTGATGTACAACATATCTGTCGTCGTTAATAAATTGTATTACATATTTTTTTATTGGTAAATTGTGTGATTAATTACGTGTAAATATTATTTAATTAATAAAATATATGAATTATTTTTTAAAAAATTAGAAACAATAAAAATTATGATATATATGTAAATATATATATAGGATAAAATGAAGGGTAAATTTGAGTATTGGTGTTGTGTGTGTAAGGAATGTTTGGATAATATTCTTTAATTGAAGAAGAAAAGAGAAGACGACAGAGAGAGATTTGATGCATTTTGTAGTGTTGGAAACTTGTACTTTTCAAACTTGTGTGATGATTTGAAGGAAGGAATTCGAGGCATAGGCTTTTTGTGCTTCATTCATTCTCACGCAAACCCACATGCACCTCC